AAGACAGAACGATAAAATAAAGGCAGTGCGAGAAATAAATGAAAGTAAAAACAATGCGGGAAAATAAACGATAAAATAAATGTGTTGTGAGATAAATAAATAATAACTGCAAATGAATTAAATAAAAACCTGCTCCAAATTGGAGACTCGAATTCTAATACAACTTGATATTAAATTACGGCAAGATTAAAACTCTAAGTCTACAGTGCTCCAAACCTGATTACAACCACGGTACGATAACTCTCCGATGTGAAGAATTATCGTTTTACAGATGTGAGATATATGCCTAAGCTGCAATTAAGTTTGGATGATCAAAAAGTGAGAAACTGTGTCCTATTTGTAGTGAAATGCTTCCTTAAACGTCAATCTGAGCCTTCAAAAATCGTGGGAGAGAAAACCTCTGGTCATGGCGTCATTCTCCAACCGTCCATTGACTGACCTTCACTCAAGGAAGATGGCGCACGTCACTTACCCTTGGCGTCCGCCATATGTGTAAGGTAAATGAGGAAGGATCTTTATGATTTGAAGCAAGCCCCAAGGGCATGGAATAAGAGAATATATAGTTTCTTGATCGAGGAAAATTTCACAAAGTATGTTTCAGAACATGGAGTGTATGTCAACAATGTAGGAAGGCTCAGTCGAGTCATTATATGTTTTTTTGTGGATGACTTGTTGATTACAGGTGCAAATAAAATAGAAATGGAAATGGTCAAGTCGAAACTAATGTAGGAATTTGTAATGTCCGACCTAAGGAATTTGTCATATTTCTTAGGGATAGAAATTAAAGACACAAGTGAAAGAGTGTTTATGCATTTGGCGAAGTATGCCCAAGATATCTTGAAAATGTTCAAGATGAGTAATTCTAATGCAATTGTCACACAATTGAAGACTAAAGCAAAGCTGAGAAAGGATACAAATAATGAGTTTGTAAGTGCAACACTGTACAAGAAAAATATTGGATCCTTAAGGTATCTATGCAACACCAGGACATATATTTGTCAAAGTGTTTGGCTGTTGAGTAGATTCATGGAGAATCCACAAAAATGTCATCTCACTGTAGTAAAGAGAGTATTGAGATGCATAAAAGGTATTACCAGTTATGGTGTGTTGACGCCAAGGAGAAAGAATATCGGCACATATGTAGAGGTACATGGCTACATTAATTCATATTTCAGTGGAGATACGAGAATAAGAGTATTATAGGCTACATATTTATGATTTGAGGTGTTATGATCTCTTTGAGCTCAATAAAACAAATCATTGCGGCTTTTTCATCTTATGAAGCTAAGTATGTGGTTGCATCATATGCAGTATGTCAAGCACCAGATGTTACCTAAAGAGCTCAAGATCATGAAACCTAATAAAATGAAGTTGTTTGTCGATAACAAGTTAGCTATTAACCTGAAAAATCATCATGTATGTCATCGTCAAAGTGAACACATAGATAGAAGATATTATTTTCTTAGGGATCAAGTAAATAAAGAGAAACTTGAACTTGAGCATTGCAAGACATAATGACAACTAATTGATATACTCACCAAACCTCTGAAGAAAGTCAGGTTCAATGAGTTAATGAGAAGTGTTAGGATGAGAAGTCTCAAAAATATGAATTAGGTGGTGTGTTAGAATATTTAATTCACTATTTTGTAAAAAAAAAACTATATTCTACAAAGGTGTGTTCGACCTAGTCGAAGTAGTGAGTCTAGTAGAAGTTAGATGTATTCGACAGGGTCAAATACAATATATAGTTACCAAATTGTGTAAACATGCATTCGATTGAGCCAAATGCTACGGTTTATAAATTGTATGTTTTGTTGCCTACATATACAAGTAACGTTGTAAATTAAAAAAAAACAACAATTTCACTTTAATAAAATTCCTTCACAATATAATTTCTCTATCTTCTTCTTATTCATTATTCTTGAAAACCCTAATTGTTCAATCACGCACACGCAAACGCACGCACACAAACTTACTCCAATATATATATATATATATATATATATATATATATATATATATATATATATATATATATATATATATATATATATATATATATATATATATATATATATATATATATATATATATATATATATATATATATATATATATATATATATATATATATATATATATATATATATATATATATATATATATATATATATATATATATATATATATATATATATATATATATATATATATATATATATATATATATATATATATATATATATATATATATATATATATATATATATATATATATATATATATATATATATATATATATATATATATATATATATATATATATATATATATATATATATATAACATCAATTGTATAAGTGTTGGCTAGAATGGGTAGAATAGTTGAACTATTTTCGATGCTCCCAACGAGGATGTCAATAATGAAATTCCTTTGGAAATCTTTAACTCACTCCTAATTTAAATAAATCATTGAACCACGAAATTACGAAATGTATATGTGGTCAATAGGAGTAAGAATGGTGACAATGTAATTTAATAGATAAGACATAATTTGGGAGGACGACGTTGGAAAAATATTGTAGAGAGTTCTGAATAGATATATGCTTTTAATATGACTTATATAAATTGGTCTTCATATTTTTCCTTCGTTATTGTAGGTTTACAACATAAACTTCTCCGGGGGTTAAAATCCTCAAATTCACTAATATCTCTGAGGAGGCATGAGAATCTTAACTAACAAATTTTGGGTTCTTCCTTGGAATTTAAATAATTACACATATTCTCCAATTACAGATAAAATATTGCAATTAGTTGGGTAACAAATGGATGACAACAATGAAATAATGAAGAAAAAAAAGGAAGATGCATAGTAAAAATATCAACTAATGACAATCATGCATTTTGTTAAGTTATATTAAAATTTTTTAAATAATTGTATGACATGACAAAATGATATATCACTATTGAATGACATTATAAAATATTTTTGCACTGTAAATGCGTAATAATTAAACTCAATAATAAATATGTATACAGATATTATTGTCACCGTATATTAGAGGTGGCAATTGAATCCATTAAGGCAAAATTCATTCAATCCATCCATCCAATCCATCCACCACACAAAAAATAAGTTAATGGATGGAGTTAAATCCATCCATTTATATGCATGAATGGATTCAATCTATCCAACATATTTTAAGGATCCAATGAATTATTTTTATTTTCGTTAGATTTATTTATTTTTAAATAGATTTTTTAAAAAATAATTTAAAAACTATATTTTTTTTAAAAAAGAATTTTTTTTCTGAAAAAAAAAAGTTTAATTCTTTTTTTCCGGTTAAAGTAAAAAACTGATTTGTTTTTCGAAAAATAAAGTAAATTTTTTTTTCGAAAAAAAAAACCGACTTTTTTTTTGGAAAAAAATTCAATTTTTTTTCAGAATAAAAAACTGATTTGTTTTTCGAAAAAAATCGATTTTTTTTCAAAATAAAAAACTGATTTGTTGTTTGAAAAAAAAAATAAAATTTTTTTTCGAAAAAAAAAACCGACATTTTTTTTGGAAAAAAAAATCGATATTTTTCAAAAATTAAAACATCATTTTTTTTAAAATACATAAAATTCAGTTTTTTTAATAAATATATTAAAAAATAATGTTTTTTTAAATACAAAAAATAAAATTTTCAAAAATAAAATAAAATTAATTTTTTAAAAATAAAAAAAAAAATATTTATTTTTACGAAATAAAAAAAAAGTTGGATGGATAGATATTCATTCATTAAAAATATGTTAATGGATGGATTGGATTGGATAATTTTAAGAAATTTTAATGGATTGTTAATGGACTAATGGATTGTTTTAATCCATCCATTAACAATCCAATCCATATTTATCCAATCCATCCATTTTGCCACCCCTACCGTATATAATCAATGTGATAAAAAAATATAACAATCACATATTCCAGTTCTACAACATTTCAGTTGACCATAAGTCTCGACCCCGAACCCTCAACCAAACCGGTTGATAAACTCCTTCAGATCCATGTTCAGATTCACATAGGAAAAAACGATCAACCGAATAGCATTCTTGGACCCGTATCTGGCCCACCCGAACCCTCAACCAAACCGGTTGATAAACTCCTTCAGATCCATGTTCAGATTCACATAGGAAAAAACGATCAACCGAATAGCATTCTTGGACCCGTATCTGGCCCACGCTTTTGACGTACAAATATTTTAATTAAATCTTGCAGTCGGATGCAAAAGAGTATGCTGATCGACCCTTTGCATGACCAACTAAAGCAATCAAGTTCCCGATTCTAGATTTTAGAGGTGTTATCGGAGACAATTTGCACGATTCTAGATTTTAGAGGTGTTATCGGAGACAATTTGCACGTTCGATCAAAGCAATCAAATCTCCTCCGAGAAGATCAATTATGCTAGACTGCTACGGTGACAGGAGAGAAGTACTAGTAATTAGGAGAAGTTTCACTGAAATATATTATTTTCTCTATCATCTCGAGATGATTCAAAAGCAACATCGAATGTTTTTAATAAATTACTCGTATCAATTGATAACTGATTAATTTATACTACTCTTTCAAAGCAAGAGTACCTGAATAATGGTTGGAAGGTAGTGAGAGAGAATAAAAAATTATTGCATCCTACATAAAAATAACAAAACAAACACAACTAAAAGAAATGATATTCATTGTATAAAATTTCCTTCACCATCAATTTATTACATTAAACCATGTCGAAAAATAAGGATATTTAGTTAACTAAAGAGACAATAGTAATATTTGGGCTTTAGCTCTAATTTGCCACCAAAATCTCATCAAAATCAAAGTAAACTGAAAGAAAGAAAATAACAGCAACAGAAATATAGCTAAACTATAAGAATAATAGCAATGCATCTTCCTTTCTGAAAAATACCGATGGATTACCAATAAATCCATCCCTAAATGCAAATCCATCTTGTGATTTTTCTTTTGTTTAAGCCACTGCAGGCATGTCCTTGAGCCAAGCATCTAGTGGTTTTCCAATGGAATAAACAATGAAACCAATTTCCCTCAGCTTTTTAACATCCACAACATTCCTTCCATCAAAGATAAATGCAGGCTTCTGCATGTCGTTGAAAACTTTTTGGTAATCGAGGTTCTTGAACTCGTCCCACTCAGTCATAATGCAAATACCATGTGCATCCTTTAACGCCTCGTACGCGTCCCAGACGACAGTAACTTCTTTTTTGGAAGTTGTTGGGCTTGTAGGTTGAAGATGAGCAGGGTGATCCCAATCAAATTTCTTCATTGCCAAATCCTTCAAGATTTGCTCTTCAGAAACTTGAGGATCAAATATGCTCAACTTAGCCTTGTCTCCCAATAAACCCTTGCACACATCAATTGCGGGAGTTTCCCTAGTGTCACCGGTGTCCTTCTTGAAAGCAAATCCCAAAATGGCAATCTTTTTTCCTGACACAGTGTTGAACATGGAAGAAACAACTCGGTTCACAAATCGAGATTTCTGGTAGTCATTCACCTTAATGACCTGTTTCCAGTAGTTAGCAACCTCGGGAAGACCGTGGCACTCACAGATATAGACCAAGTTCAGAATATCCTTCTGAAAGCATGATCCACCAAAACCAACACTAGCATTCAAGAACTTTGGTCCAATTCTCGAATCAGTGCCGATTGAATGAGAAACCTGGGCGACATCAGCACCGGTTGCCTCGCATAGTGCAGACATGGCGTTCACAGAGGAGATTCTCTGTGCCAAAAAAGCATTGGCGGCGAGCTTCGAGAGTTCAGCAGACCACAAATTGGTGCAAAGGATTCGATCCGAAGGGACCCAATGAGCATAAACATCTCTCAAAGTATGGATAGCCTTTTGACCCTCAGGAGTTTCCCTACCTCCGATAAGAACACGATCCGGATTAAACAAATCTTTGATAGCTGTACCCTCTGCAAGAAACTCAGGGTTAGACAAAATTGTGAAATTAATACCCTTCCTATTGTGAGTCAAAATCCTCTCAATCGCCTCAGCTGTTTTAACCGGAACAGTTGATTTCTCAACAACAATTTTAGCAGATTTCGAAACATCAGCAATCATCCTAGCAGCACTCTCCCAGTAAGTAAGATCAGCCGCTTTGCCAGCTCCAAGACCTTGAGTCTTTGTAGGAGTGTTCACCGAAACAAAGACGATATCGGCCTCAGCAACATGCTTCTCAACATCAGTGCTGAAGAAAAGGTTCCTTCCTCTGCACTCCTTCACCACATCCTCAAGACCAGGCTCATATATAGGTAGGTGCTCACTGTTCCAAGCATTGATTCTTGGCGCAGCAATGTCCACCACAGCTACCTCAATCTCAGGACACTTCAAAGCAATCACAGCCATTGTTGGACCACCAACATAGCCAGCTCCAATACAGCAAATCTTCACCATTTTTTCTTATAGCAACCTGTTATAACCAAAACGATCAAAACTCAAAATCACCGCACAACTTTTTCTAAACCAAATTATAAGAACTATATCATAAGCTCTATAACACCGACATCCCTATTGACACTGACCGTTCTAATTAAGTTCAATTTATTTATTTTTCAACATAGATCGTATATATTAAAATTTTCAAATTATTACTGTGTCCACATGTCAATGTCGGTGCCATTCCCGTACATCATAGTATAGATCATAAGTACAATCACATTGAGAACGAGATCTATAATTTTCATGAAAAAAATCTCACAGATCCAGAGGATACTACTTGAATAAATTACAAAATGATTAAATTAAAACTATCAAAATGTTCAAATGAATCACATGCAGACACAAAAACACAAAAAAAAAAAAATGAGAACTTACAAAAATTCCAAATCACGTAATTATATAATCAAATATCAGATCTAACGACAAATCATTCAATAAAGCCAAAATAACAGATCCACCATTAACAAATCAACCGAATCACACACACAAAAAATTAACAATAATCAGAACACATAATGTGATCACTGAATTAAAGTTAAGAACGAAACAGAGGCAGAAACCAGAATGCAATATAGACTCACTCGCAAACTAGAGAAGCAAATGAGAGAGGGAAAAAAAAGAAGAACGAAGAATTGAAGTTATACGAAGAACGTTGAGTTACCTTAGTTAAGGAGAGGTAGAGAACGAAAGGAGGAAGAGAGATCTGAGGGGAAAGGAGTAGAAGAAATCAGAGGATGAGAATTGAAAGAAGACGCGTCGCAATTTATATAGGAGTTAAGACAGTGTGAGAGATTGCGTCACCATCATTAGTCGTTCGAAAATTAAAATAACGAAGTAAGTGAGTAATCCATTCTATACAACATAGTTTTCTTTTCTTCGCAAAAAGATTACTTCTAGATCAACGCTTGGGTGAATAACACGTTTTTTTCTTTTCTTTTTATGCGTATTTTTTTTCCTTTTCCTATCTTTTAAGTTAACCATCCTCAACTAATTATCTTAGTTTAATAAAATACAACTAATATAATTTACTTTATTTTTTGTCTCAAATAGGAATAATAACACAAAATGTATTTTATTGAAATTTAGTTCAAATGTATTTAAATAAAAATAGTATATTTCAATTTAGATGAAAAAAAAAATACGATCTGGTCAAATACATATTACTTCTATTGATACTATATTTAAGGTCTAAACAAAGCTTTTAACCATTTTCAACTAATTAACTATTTACTTTATTTCATTACTTCTATTAATATAAATTACTTTGTTTTTCATAAATAAAAATAAAAAGTTAAACATATTTTAGTTAAATTTAGATTAAATATAGTAAAGTGTTATTTTTAGTAAAAGAATAGAGAAAAAATAGTATTTTTTTTATTAAGACGGAAAAATAGGATCTTACAAAATATATTTTGCTTCTATTAATATTATACTTTAAGATCTAAACAAAGGTTTTATTGTTATTTTCAACTAAATTTGTTTATGTTGTATTACTACAATATTTTTTTAACAATAATTAATTCTTTCATAAAAGAATTCTAATTTTACGGTAATAAATACAAAATTAATAATTTAAGATGTTTAAAATGAAAATATATATTAATTGCCTTATTACTCAACAATTAAAATTTTGATTTTGATTTTAAAAAATTACTCCTGTAATTATTATATCATTTTTTATTAAGAAACCAAGATGAACATCATCATGGAATAAATTATTATTTTTTTTGGATCAATATACACTTGTGGTTCTTCCATTATAAGCTATTGTACACTATAGCTTATAGTTTCTTAAGGGTTAATTAACTGTGAAACTATGTGCTGGTAGATTTAATTAATATGTGATCGAAGTTCATAGATAAATAAGTATGTCTATAGCTTATAGTTTCTTAAGGGTTAATTAATTGTGAAACTATGTGCTGGTAGATTTAATTAATATGTGATCGAAGTTCATAGATAAATAAGAATGCCTAGCCTATATAACATTATATGTTTGATGATGTTAACTCGTGAATATGTAACAACCTTTATTTGATTGTGATAATAACAACATTTGAAGACAAGCAAGTGTTAAAATTGGTTCAAGCAGTCAAAGATGCACAAGATACTTGATCGAGTCATTTCTCTTAATAAAGTTGAAGATTTAGGGTTTGATGATCACCAATGATACTCTCTATTGATGACATCTAACTTGATATCTCAAACCTCATCCACAAAAAGATTCAAATAAAATGCTCATATGATTGGTGTATCGAGCGAGAGAGTTGAAGTTTCATGGTGTGAAAGAGAGGAAGTGTGAAAGCTCTGTTGATCGTGTATGAATGATCAGTGTTTTGTAAAAACACAAGGGGGTTTTCATAAAGTAATATGACTAAATCACACACTCACTAATAACTTTTTTTAAAGCCTCTATTTCTCAAAAAAAAAAATCACCTAAAAATGTTATGGAGTCTAGCCAGATGAATTGGAAACTGTCAGAATGATTAGAACAAGTTTTTGAAATGTCTAATTGATTAGACTGAGTACTTAATCTATTAGATAAGAGAAAAATGAGTCTATAATCAATTATGACAGTTTCTTAATGTATGGTAATGACTCTCTACCAAAACTTTTTAAATTGGGCTCAAACAAACGATTGTTTGTGCTACCTAATTTATTAGCTTTAGAACATAATCGATTGGGCAATCAATCTTGCCCATGGATCGTTTCCTTCTTATAACCATTATTTGGCCTACAAATACAGGTCTTCCCTTTCAGTTTTTCACATCATGAAACATGAGATATCTCACATTCATCTCTCTTATTCTCTCTCTAAAGTATTTCTTCTTTCTCTCACATAAATTTGGCCATAGCGCTTTGAGAAAGGTTCATGTGTTTAAATGAGGAAATCGTTCTAGAAAGGATAATATTGTAAATTCACCAAGAGTTTGTTTTCCTCTTAAGTGAATCTTTCCTACTTAGGAAGTGTTTGTTTGGGTTATGAGTTAAACATGTTATAAGCTCTTTTGGAGGATTAGTGTTAAGTCTCTGTTTGGTTCTTGAGGAAAAGCTCTCCATTTGGGTTCGTGAAGAATAACTAGAGAAAAATATCACATCGGTTATATGAGCTCAGGTTGGTATAAAATATCAGTTGGTTCAAGATCATCCTGATTTAAAAACTCGGTTCGGTTCATGACCAACCCGTTATAAAAAAACTCGGTTTAGTTTGGAGGATAACCAATTCAAAACTCCACCTTAGTTTGAGATAAGTACGTACAAAATCTATATTTGGCTGAGATACTAACCGCTCGAAACTTTGTTTGTGTTTGGCATGAAGACTAACTGCTTCATTCCACTGTTTGTTGTTTGGTTAGAAGTTAACTTAAAACTTTATTTTCCTTGTATAAGGGGGTTACTGACATTTACCTTCTAAAAGCTCTCAAGAATTAGTGGAAACTCACAAGATCGCCTCTTGGGAAGAGAAGTAGGTCATTTCTTTAGACCAAAACTTTATAAATTCCTGGTGTCTTTCTCTTTTCCCTTATCTCTTTATTTTCCGCTTATTTTCTTTACTCTGATTTCCGCTACTTATTCAAATGTTTTTAAACTTTAATTTAGAAAAATGTTTTGTTTTAAACCGTGGTTTTTCAACCCCCACCCTCTTGTGTGTGGAGTCACATGTTCAAAAAGTAGTATTAGAGCCTAACTCATGTTCAAAGATTAATCGTCTCAAGAGAAGAATGACTTCCAGCACTGTTTTTAACAAGAGATCTTTCGCAAACACTCATCCACCGTTCAACAGTAATTTGTTTGAACTATGGAAAGTTAGATTTAAAATTTTCATTCAAATGCTTGATCATGAATTGTTGGAAATTATACTCAAGGTCAGTTTATCCCTACTCACCACATAAATGGAGTAGTAGATAAGTTTGGTTTCCTTTAGACTATAGAGGAAAAGAGAAAGTTTGGAGTTGATTTCAAAACAATGAATTTCTTAGTCATGTCTTTAGATGATATTAAATTTTTCTATGTCCTTAACTATAAATCTGCCAAGGAAATGTAGGACAAACTTGAAATGATATATGATATTTCTGCAAGTGCTGAACAAGAGAACAAATACACAAGGTAAAGAAGATGAATTTTTATTCATAAATGTTTTCTCTAAATTTAGAGATGTTGGAAAAAAAATTTATGACATTATCACTAAGAAATATCTAAGAATTAAGAACTGGAACCAGAAATATGATCCAACTTAAATCAAGAGATGCTTTATGAATTTCATGAAAAATCCAAAAAGAAGGAAATCATAGAGAAAATGAATCAATTAATCTAACTACTAAAATATGAAGGCATGAGCTCAAGTATAGAAGAATCCCTAGCAACTTCATCAATAAATTCCTGTGAAAGTAACTCAACTTATATGATCTCCTTCAAAAGAGCAGTTTTGGTAGTTGAATGATCCTTAGAAGATTCAACATAAAATTAAGGAACTTCATCTAGAGGAGGATCTGAAGAATAAGCCTCATCTAGTGAAATCTATGAGATAAGAATGGAGAATAAATCCTCTACAAATAACAAAGAGTCATCCTCAGGTAGAACCTTCGAAGAATCTTCGTTCAACAAAGAAGATGAAGTTTTCTTGAAAGTACCTCACGAAGAAGATGACCATGAGCTAACAAAGTTATCATACAAGAAATTATTCAAATTAAGTGCTAAGTTAATTGAAGAAAATGATAATATTAAAAATCATAACTTAGACCTTAATGATTACCTTGAGTTTCTAGAGAAGAGTAATGAAATGCTTAAGCATGAAATAACTAATATCAGAAACCAAGCTGGAACGTGTGAGACTTGTGTCTCGATGAAAAAAGAAGTAACTAATTTTCATGAAACCCTAAGTAAATTTACTAAGGGGAAGGAAAACCTTGATTGATTCTATCAAGTCAAAGGTCTTCCTTAAATAAAATTGGACTAAG